CTGAATCCCAAGATTTAGATTAGTGTAAAAAGGAAACTTTAGGAAAGCTATGGCCGAGGCCGCGGTGTCTAAGAGAGCATGAACCACCCTTTGACTACGGAGGCAGAAACGTGTGCAAATTTGGGCAGTTACTTCTTCTCAAGTACTAAATCATAGGGCTGAAAGGGAGCATATACTAGTCCAAGATGTGGAAGAGCTGCCTTTGCCCACGAGGTTCTCTCGGAGCAGGGTAGGCGCACGGTGTAGGCCCCTGCGGTGCCCCAGTCAAGTAGGAGAGCACGGGCTGGTGGGACCCTGGCAGGCTCGCTTGGATCTCCGGAGGCCTGGGGAGCAGGCAGTGCTTCGGAGTGGGGCTGCTGATGAATAGCATCTACCAACACCACTGAGTCCGATGTGCCCTTTTTAAAAAAAAATTATTTATTTTTAGAGAGGGGGAAAGAAAAAGAAACATCAGTGTGTGATTGCCTCTCACATGACCCCCACTGGGGACTCGGCCCACAACCCAGGCATGTGTCCTGATAGGGAATTGAACCAGCAACCCTTCGGCTCGCAGCTCGCACTCAATCCATTGAGCTACACCAGCCAGGGCCAATGTGCCCTTTAACTACCACTCAGTACATTTTACAGCAAGATTCAAGGAAAATATATAGGCTAGAAGAGGTGTGCGCAGGTGTCTTGGAAAAATTATACTTCCAAGACAGGAAGCCCGCGAGCGGGACACGTGCTTGTTTCCCTGTGAATGTCGGAGCTCCAGCAAACCTCAAGGTCCATTCGCTCCTGATTGCTCTTCTTGGCAGTGTTTTACCCCATTGCTGATGCAGGCAGCACAAAGGGTTTTTTTCTGTCACAACGATCTGCTCTGAGGGGTACTCTGGCGTGGGCAGGTGGACTGAGGTGTTGTCGGCTCGAGGTTTTACACACAAAACGTAAAATCAGCTAAAATGCTTTCATTGCTTCAGAAAAACCTGAATTCCCTCCCGCACCTCACAGGTCACCCCAGTCAACGTGAGCCCAGCCAGCTACTGCTGCACAGTAAACCGGGGTTAATTTAAAGAAGGTATTCGTCTCCAATACTTGGGGGCCTCTTCCAGTCCGAAGGTTCCACTACTAAGCTCCCCAAAGGCAGGAATAGTACTTTTACAGAATAAAGGAGACAGACTACATGACCACCTCAATGCACGGGGCCCGGTGGGGGGATGGGTAGGCACCTGACCAACAGCCATTCATGAGAAAAACAAGGCAACCTATAAACACGACTATGCAAAAGATGCCATCTACATCAAACCAATAGCAAACATTCTTGATGGGATACTGAGTGTCTTCTTCCTAAAGTTGGAACAAGGTGTACGGTCTTTCTACAGGACTCCCCTAAGGAGCAGAAGGGTGAACTTCACTCAAGGTGCCTACTGCCACCATCTTGAGTTAGCTCCACGAATTTTGTTCCCTCGGTGTCTTGCTTACCTCACTTTTGCCACAGCCTGCTCTTAATCACTTGTACTGAATATGTATTAGAGGTGCTAATCAGTGTAATGAGAACAAAATAGTGTTTAGCAAGTCTCATGATACAAGGATTTAAAAATTAGACATCAAAACTGTACATCTATAAACTAGGAACTGGAAAAAATTCTACTGAAACCAGCATCAAAAAACTAAAATACTTCATGCAGATTATAATGCTAAATCCAGAAGCCACAAAAATGTTTACGTACAAACTCTGGCTGGTGTGGCTCAGTGGATTGAGTGCCAGCCTGTGAACCGAAAAGTAACTAGTTCAATTCCCAGTTAAGGCACATCCCCAGTTGAGGGTGTGTAAGAGGCAATTGATGAATGTATCTCTTCCACGTTTCTCTCCCTAAAATTTATATGCAAATATTTACAGCAGCTTGATCTTTCCCAAGAACTGGAAACCAGTAAATGTTCGTAACTGAATGGGTAAACAAATTGTGGTACATTTCATGAGTCCCAGATATGATGGACACAGAAGAGGCCCACTCCAAAGCATGCCATTCTTAAAAAGCCAAAGTTTAAAGGGACTCTTAAAAGCAAGAAGAAAGAAGTTACTGGAAGGTTGCCAGATGAGGAGGTAGGGGAGAATGGGTTAAGGGGTGAGGGGATTAAGTCCAGTAGTTACTGAATAGCTATTGGAATGCAAAGTGCAGTATAGGAAATAGAGTAGCCAAAGAACCTATATGCATGGCCCATGGACATGAGTAATGGTGGGGGGGATTCTCTGAAGGAGTGGGGAGTGCTGGGTGGAGGGGGACAAAGCGGGGAAAAATCAGGACAACTGTCCTAGCATAAAATATAAATTACTTCAAATAAAATTGTTGAGATTAGTATTTCAATGTATATAAATCTTACCTTAAAAACGTGTGAATAGATGGATGTGTCAAACCAGAACTGAGGATTATTGAAGTTCAGGTATGAAGGTTCCAAGTACTATTTCATTTTGTATGTCTGCAAAGTCTCCAATAATGCTTGATTACAAATCACTTATTTTTAAGGTTCCTAGCTCATCTATCCAACAGCCTATTGGACATCCCTTGACACTTCCCATCAATGGTTTTCCTCCCATCTTGGTTGTATCACAGATCTATGACCCTATCTCAGTTTCATCCTACATTTCTTGTTTGAGCATCCAGGAGAATGATTGTAAGTAGTTGAAGAATTCAGTTTGGGGGTTAAGAATCTGGGCACTTGTCATACTGTAAAGAACTAAGAAAGCAGATCCTAAGAAGCAAAAAGGCAAGTGGGAAGTAGGAAAGTAAAACAAACCAACGGGAAACTTTTAAGAAAAGTAACCAACAGTGGGAATTACTGCAGAGAACTGAGTTTTATAAAATCTCTGAAGTTCGGAATGGGTGGAATCCAGAGGAGCAGCACTTCATCCACTGTAAGATGAGGATGAGAAAGCAAAGTTTGAATGTGAGGAGCCAGGAACTGGTGACATTGATCTGGCTAGGAAAATGCAATCAAAGTCCTGTATTTTCCATAATGCAATGTCGCATTTACCATTTATGCGCCTGAATCTTGTCAATTCACACAATGAGTTCTCACTGGTGTCCTCCAAAACTCATGTTTCAGTAAAAGAACCTGGCATTGCATAAACATCTTGCCTGTCTAGGATCAACCCGTTATTCAAATTTTGGAAAAAATATTCTCTAAGCTTGTTCTAAGATTTAAATACAAATTTTTATATTCTGATTTCTAGCGTCCTGTAGCTAGAAGACAAATCTTACCAAATAAATAATTGTAAAATATGTACTTGTATTGCAAAAAGATCAAGCTTGTATTTTGTTCTAGTTAACAGAAATAATCATCAATGAAATAAAGGAAGCTCACAGCCTGTTCTTCCCCAATCCCCATTACAAGGGCAGTCTCATGAAATAAAGGCTGGAATATTCTACCATCCACTTCCTCTAAGATCAAACTGAAATACATTCTTTTTCTACTCTGATATCCTGGTATATAGCCCAGATACTTTTCTTTGTAAAAATCCCTATCTGAGGACATATCCATCAATTTTAGGGATTGGGAAAGCCCAAAACAAAACATCAGCTGTTTTCTGCATGCATCCAATTGGGGATCCAACTCACAACCCTCTGGTGCACAGGACAATGCTCCAACCAACTGAAGCACCTGGCCAGGATCCAGATACTTCCCTTGCACTCCAGTTATAAAGCCACTAACAAAAAATGTTTAAATCTGAATACAAAGTGGATATTATCCCAGGAGCTTAATGATCTTTTGTCTTCATAACTCACAAATCTTAGAATAATCATTAAATGTAGATAGATTTCTTCAATTTCAAAAACTTTTACATGTCATATTTGGTCATGCATACTGCTTAAAAAATACATCGACAGAACACTTTCTGAATGTCACCAGACAATCGATTAAGCAAACTTTTATTGAAGCTTAAAGTGTGGTACATAAATACATTTCAACCAAATTTAAGCCCAACACCATCAAAGAGAGAAATTAAGGTAACAAAAAATTCCCTCCTCTATACATACTAGAATCAATTTAAATTACTATTTAATCTACAGTTTTCATTCTTCTAAGTTTTGTTTCATATAAATTTGTGTAGTTTCTCAACATTAGATAGAAATCTTAAATCTATTAGAAAAAAATTAGACCTCAAGCCAACACGTCATCAAATCTACTGGGACACTGTTCAAGAACAAAATCCACTTTGAGCATTGGTCCTCAAAACAGCACCGAAACACTAGGTACTGTGTGCCAGTTAAGAATCAAACTGATCCATTGATTGAAAGCTTCTTCAATGAAACTTTGAATCAAGAACGTACATAAAATAAAAGAAGTGTTCCAACCACTTGATTTCAAACCAAGTAGATTTTATGTTTAGAAACACTAAAAAAAATGTGTTTCATTTATAAGTACGGAAGGAACAAAAACATCACTGCAGCACGCCACAAAGAAAAAAAATTTGAGGACAAGAATACAAAAATTTAGTCAACCTTGCTGTTTTCTAGGCTGCTTAAATCTCACAGTATTTGGAAATGTAGCCAAAAAACGCTAACTCTTGAAAGCCTGTATTTCTAGTCATTTCCCATTGACCACTTTGGAAATTCTTATGTTCTGTCTCATGGATAATTCTGCTTCCCTGTGTATGTCTGAGTAGCCCGAAGAGTTCTCATTCTGGTCACTCACTCGATCCTCTGGAAACACGGTGAAAGCACCCCCACCAGGAAGAGGAACACATGGAGTCAGAACACTATCACATGTATTACACACAAAGTCACAGACCTTCAAGTCACAAGATGGCAAAGACACTGGTGCTGCTTTGAACTAAAGTTTATGGTACATTATTCATGGAAATTGGTGGAAATGGCTGCTAAGCTAAAAATTAAGGTGAGTGATCCGATTTGACTTACTGAATCCAGTACAACCTGTATCTGAAATCTCCTTGCTAATAATGTACTAATAACATTTTTTATACTACTACTTACCAAGTTAGTAAAGACATGGTACTCATGAGAAGCTAATCTTATTTATTGGAGAACACAGAATGGCATGTAGTTCCCGTATAAGTTCTGCCAGTATGTTCTAATGTTAATTTATGTGTCTTCCTTGCTAATCAACACTGTAAGTTTATTTTTGTCACCATCTTCCAAAAGAGCCAATGCCAATAAAAAAGCCAAACTTCCTTGACCTTAAAAGACAATTAAGCCTAGGGTCCATCCGCTCTCTCCCCCCTCTAGGGTATAAGATTGGTTAACCCACAGTGTAACAGTATATTGCTTTATTGGGGCAAGGTTGGGAGGGGAGACACCATGGTGAGGAATGAAATCAAAGGAATACAAAGAGCTGGAAGCAATGTTAAAATAGTATTACATAAAATGGATAATTGCAATCACTTTCTTAGAGGACTGTACTCGTGGAAGAAAAAACTTTAATTGCTGTTGCAAAAAACATCTGTATAAAGTAGAAATTGGTTTCAATAACATTAGTAGAGAATACGTTCTAGAAAGTGGAGGTAACTGGATGTAATTATCCTGGGCAGCAATTTTAGAACAGTCCCGGATGGTTCGGCTGAGGCCAACACCTAAGGAGGACGAAAGCCTTGTCTGTGGGGAATTTTGGATGATACCTGGAGGAATATTACACTGTGCATAAACCGAATTGAATTTTTGTCACAAGTGTTATAAAGATTCACGTAGTAAAAGTTTTTTTCTACATGCACTTCAATTTCACAGCAAGAGTGGCATAGGATACCTAAACACAGAAGAGAGCATTCATGCAAGATATCTAACTCCTTGATATAATAATGCATACAATTCAAAATGATTACACTATCATTACATCTAGGGCTTTCTGCAACTACTAGGTGGTGGTTATGAAAAGCACAGCCCCCTTTATCAATATCTAAAGAGCAGCCACCACCTTCTTCTAAGTGTGTTCTCTTTTTGCGTTTTTTCTTCATTTTTCTTAATCAACTCTGCTGCTGTTGCTGCTTCTTAGCAAAACTGGTAAAAACAAAGTTGTAATCATTGAACATAGCACTCTGGCAATCAAGACGTTTAAAACCTTCAATCTTCTGGGGTGAAGAAAGCACTGTGCGACATTTAGAACTCTAGGCAAAAAAAAAAAAAAAAAAAAATCTATTAATACTTCCAATCTGCAGAAGTGATGCAAACAAAATAGTCATGCCACAAATACTTAAAACTACTACCTTAATAAAACTGTGGTATTTGAATATTTTAGCTGCTTTCTTATGGGCTGGAGTAAGATATCTTATGCCCCCCATCCTCTACCCCAACCCCAGGCCCACCAACAGGGAAAATAAACAGGACGGTGAGAAGTCTACCAATTAGGTTAGATACAAAACAAGAGAAAGCTAATGAAACACATAAAGCTTTTCACCCCAATAATCTCAACCAGCAGCACCTCTAGATATCTGAGAATGGGCCATCTTAGAACTTTATATGAATAATGGGGACAACTGTAATTGAACAATTAAAAAGAGATTATTTAAAAAAAGACCATTATATGACATTCCCCACTATCCTTATTTTCTGGAAGACTTTAATGTCAACAATAAAAACAAATTACCTGGTTTACAAACAAGGTGGTCACAAACTTTCCTGGCTTGAATACTTCCACAACTTTCCTGATCAGGTCGTCATAGGAGGTCTGACTTAAGTTTGTTTCAAAGCTAACATAAGAAAATTCTGGTTCTGGAGTGATGTGAATAGTCCAATAAGTTCCCTTAGGAAAAACATTTTTGTGTTAATAATGGAAAGGGTACACTTAAATATTTAGTAAGTATTAAGCAAATAATACTACTTACATCCGATTTCATGCCATTCATTGAATACCCACAAGGATTGAACATTGTGGCATCAATGACAGAACCTGGTATCAGGTCACGAATTCCACTCTCCTAGGGGGGCGGGGGGAGGGGAGAGGGAGACTAAATTACATACAAATTTGAAACGCAAAACAAGAATGAGTTAAACAATATATTTAATCCCCAAGCAGAATCCAGAATTATTGAAAACCCTTACACGAGTGACATCCTTTGCAGTAACACCATCTTTCATGTAGAACTGGTCCATAACTGCTGGGTCAAGCTCACTCATCAGAATTTCCAGGGTTTGATCTGGCTGACTGATTACCCTACTCTCTGGGAAATCCAAAGTATACAAGTACCTACACAAAAGAAAATAAAATTGTTTCTAAAAATGACAACTGAAGTTTAAAGTAAATTTCATATAAAAAAAAAGTATCCAACATACCAACAGTCAGAATTCATACGTCCCATACAATATGCTGCTCCATCTGTTGAGGGAGAAAAATGTAAAATCAATTCAACAGATACATTTGATAGGATGGATGGCTTTTTCTCACCTTTTCAATAGCTAGGACAATACATTTGCCTATCAGAAATATCAGTAAAGAAAATTTTAAGTGGATGAATTCAAAAAGTAGGCAGGATTCTCCCCTTTCACCTTTCAAAAATTGAAAACTGGCTGTTATTTGGAGACACACTTCAGCAGCCAGTGAGTCAGTCTAGATAATGCTGAGGAAACTATGGCCCCTTCTCTCCTAAAACTCCATTAGGAAATAAAATTTAGTTTCCCATATATCTATTCTCCCAAGTAAACACAAATCATTTTTGTGTAATACTGGGTTGGCCAATAAGCCTATTACATTTTTTCTGTACAATGGCTCTCGTAGTGCTTAGCTGTCATTAACTTCACTTGAAACAATTTTGCTAGATGGTACTGTGACAGCTGTCATATTAGCGTTCATCAAAAACAAACAAAAAACCCCAACAACAAAACTAAACACTCCTTACCAAAATTGGTGAAATTTTGTGCAGCCATTTAAATATTGAAGATGGAAGAAAATGTACAATATTTTTGGCATATTATGCTTTATTATTTCAAGAAAGGTAAAAACACAACTGAAATGGAAAGAAAAAAAAAAAGGCTCGTGCAGTGTATGGAGAAGGTGTTGTGACTTACCGAACGTGTCAAAAGTAGTTTGTAAAGTTTTTTGGTACAACTGACATTTTGCCCAAGTAATTCTTTGCTGGGGGACTGTCTTATGAACTGGAAGATGTTTAGCAGCACCCTTGGCATCTACCTACTAAAAGCCAATAATAGGAGCTAGCCAGCACACTCAAAACTAAATGGACTTTTTGGCCAACACCATACTTCCTTTCCATGTTGTTTCTAAGCCTCGCTCAACACAGTAAATTAACTGGTAGCAGATACTCACACTAAATTATACTCAACACCCAGTGACTTAGATCAAATCAGTATAGTTTCATATTAGTAGCTAAGTTAAAAATAGAATAGAAACCAGATTTTCTTTTAAAATCATGCCCAAGAGTGTCTTCACCAAGTTATTAAAATACTAAGTTTTCAGCCTCATCTAGGATATAAGGGTATTAGATTAGATAACCTTTAATTCCCTGACCTTGACACTCAAAAAGGAAAGTCTATAAATAACAGCTTTGTAAATGAATAGAAGAAAATCTTGCCCATTTGTTGAAGTCACACTATGATCTCATTGTGTTGGTCATTTGCAAGTCAGCCTAATTCCTGTATAGAATATGCTGGACCAGTGTCTTAACACATGACTATGAAGTCATTCACTGGGTATTTACTGAATGAAAGGGTACACAGCCTTTATAACTACTAAGTTAGACGTAAGTCAGAGCAAGTGGCTAGATGAAGATGAACTCCACCCCTCTAGGTGGTGTCCCATACTTGTCTTTTTCTATCACTTTAACAACAACGACGTGAGGTGCACACACGAGTACTATAAAATTTGTAATCAGCTATACTGATATGTTTATCTTAATTTTATAATGTGCTACTATTTAAACTTACTTGGGAAAATTGCATTAAGAAACTCTATTTCTTCCTGGAAATTCCGGTGTGGGTACCCTTGGTGAGAAGGCTTCATGAAATTCTTACGAGAATAAAAGAAGCTCTAAAAAAGACATATAAACCAATATTCATGAGTTAAGTGTTATAAGAAGCAACTTAATTTTACGCCACAGAGAAGTCTCAACAGAGTATTACTAATTTAGGGTGCATCGATGAGTTTCTAGAAACTAAAATGCCCAGTCTACTGATGATGGGTCACAACAACTACAGTGATTAGGTCCAGTATTTCTAGAGCAGCTGTTTCTCATCTGAACTTTTAAACAGGCATGAAAGTAAAAGCTTTGTGGAAGAACAACATGTATATACTAAAAGAGGCAGTGATTCAAAAATTAAGAACATACTGTTTTAGATTTCTTGTAAGGGTCAACAATTAACAAAAACTTTTATGTCCTAACAACAAGACATCCTTTACCCCAATTAGGTGAAATATTAATCTTTTCTCATTTGATTTTATCCTAACTCATTCTCTGCTTCTTCCCTACTCTGCTATTCTCGGGCATCAGGACGAATATTCTTCCTCCCACAGTGGGCCCGTCCTTACCCATTACAACTATGGAAGTATATAAACTTATTTATAACTTAAAGGATTAATTCATGTGTTTTGATTACTTACTTGAATTGAGTCAAACCCACTGTAATCCCTAGCAAGTTTCAACAGGGGAACCAGTGCTTTCAGCAAGAGGGTGGTACCACATGTCTTCAAAATGAAACGTCTCTTGGAGACAAACATGCTACTCTCACTGCAATCAAAAAAAGTTACAATATTATAAGGCTGTTTATGTACTACCAAGGTACAATGAACCCATTACTGTGTTAATTTATCATTTACAATATAAATTTCTGGGTAGTCATTTAAATGTTAAGATTTCAAGGAAGCAAATAATGTTCTGCAGTAATCTTCCTCTTCTTTCATACAAAAATCAGTTTAAGGTCCGAGAACCCACAGAAACAATCTTTGAATTGGATATAAAGCCCATTACCTCATTACACAAACCCTCTTTTTTATTGCTAAATTTTCTTCCTCACTTCATCGAACCAAAGACATTATTTACTAAATTCATACTCTACACCTCATCTTGCACCACCCACTCTCATGTTTTTCTACAGCTGTCTCATTACTACTTATAGTAGAGGTAATAAGCCCAATGAGGAAAGGAATGTTTGTTTTTATTCACCATGATATCCCTATGGCCTGGCACATAAGCCTTTGATAAACGTCTGTATCCACCAAACACAACCTTAGTAAAAAGCAGATATATTTTGGGACCTTGTTCAACCCAAGGCTCGTTAATAGTATGTATAAGAATTCAATGTATTTATTGAATAAATTATTTTTGTACCTATAAAAGGGTTTAATGGCTTTCTTTTGTTATATATGGCAATCCTATCTGTATGGGGAAGCTAATTTTCACTTTGTCTGAAGTTCTGATATTGAGAGGCATATACTAAAAAAGGAAGACCTGCACCTGTGGTTGAAGGTAAAGGAACAAGGTCATTTCACCCGGCTTGACAGATACTTTTCCTTCTAACTATATGACAACCATCTTGAAGACCTTTCAGGTAAGACATCAAAAAACCTACTGCCTAGGGATACCTGAAGTAAATATTTTACTTTATATCATATTTTAAAAATAATATACAACTAATTATAGAACTAAGGTCCACAGAGACAATTTGCTGTTCTATATGCAGTGTGACAAGCTGAAATGTGTTAGCTAGCATTTGTTTTATAGGACTTACCTGAGTACATAAGCTTCCTGCTTGTCAGTTTTTGTCACACTTATGATTGAACATTGCACATCCTTCAAAAGTATGTCCCACTCAGATCTATTATTTAATAAAAAGGATAATTAATTCATTAAACTATTTGCCTATTCTTGAAAATTATCAATTTCTCACATTTAAAACAGCTTTCCAATGATCAACATAGCATTTTATTTGCTGGCACATTCTTATTCTAACTTTTCTTATGAATACCAACTCCCACCCCCAACTTGTCTGTCTATATTGACACCCACTAAATAAGATGAAACACTTTGCTATACATGAAAAATAATTTAAAAAGCAAAACAAATGTAGAAATTAAGAAAAAGACAAATAGATAAAATCCTGTGAATAAGCCACATACAGAGGAAATTCAAGAGGCTCATAAACCCAGGAAAACCATTACCTTTTGCTAGTTAAATGATTAAAGAAAAGCAAGTTAAAAGTTGAGGAGCATTGTCAAAAAAAGAAAATTATCCGCTTTGTTGTGGATACTCTCGGAATGGATTTCATCCTACCCAGAACCCTGGTCCCCAACTCCCCCTTCTCCAGCTCAAGTTAGCCCACAAATTCCACCAGATCAAATCTGTCATTAAAAGGTTTAAAAACTCAGAAGACTTGTCAAAGTATCTTGTGTAGCTATTTTGGTATTCATGCCAATTCTGCTAGTCATTCCATGTAGTTGGGGACTGTGCCTACTAGTCTAGTTTGTACCAGGCTTTCCAGTACTTGTTGAATCTGGCAATAACTATTCTAATTAGAACTTAAAGGACTTGCTGGGAAATCATGAACACCCCTAAATTTTAAAAACCTAAACTACTGTCACATAATCCTGTTTTTTAAAATGGTCACCACAATAATTCAGGTATTTAGAGGGTACACTCCTGAAAAAATAAAGACTCATTTGACAGAATTATCCTGTCAGCGAACTATAGACATACATTCTACTTAAATGCCATCTTATTTTAATATACATAAATGAAGCTTACTCATTTCACTGCCAAATAACTAAGCTGCTACAGAACCCATTCACTATAATGAATCTAGACATAGATTGTTTTCTTAAATATTTTTTATGCAACACTCCCCCCTTCCTTGGAATCTGCTGACACAGGCCGCCCCCCCCCCCCCCGTTCATCCTCTACGCCCCACAGTACTTTTCCTCTCTTGCTGAGCTGGTAATTCCTAGCCATCTGTCTTCAAGTTCACTCACTTGTCTGTCATTTCCATTCTACTAAAGCCCATCCAGTAAACCTTTATTCCAGTAGTTACTTTTTTGTATATTTTTAAGTTCCATATTCTATTTCTCTCCTAAGACCTCCTTTCATTTTAAGAGTGTTCACTCTTACTTTCTTCTACAGAATGGTTATGACAGCTGCCTTTGAATCTTGATCTGTATCACTCCAAGGCTAGTAGTGTCTGTTGATTATCTTCCGTTGAGATGCTGAGAATTTCTTGGTCATTTGTATTATTGAGCAACTTATGACTGCAGCCTGGACATTTTGATCACGTTATATAATTTTAAATCTTATTTAAATCCTATAAGGTGTGTTGATTTTTAAAACTTGTTTTAGCAGGCAACTGAAATGTTTAAGGTTCAGTCTTCAAGTTCTTACCCAACTTCTGAGTTATGTTCCAGTTTCAATTTAGTTAGGAAAGGATAGTATGCATATCATGGTATTCAGATCTGTCCTACTCAGTGGCCAGTATGGGACTGGTAGGTGAGCTATCAGTTTGCAAAGCCTTTGATATCCTGTTTAGGGCCAGAGCCATATATGAGCAGCCCAGGGGTGTTCATATAAATCTTAATGGCATTTACTTTATTCAACTCCCCCTTTTCCATAACTGCTGACAATTTCTGGCTCAGAGGTGGGCAAGTTTTCTGGTCTCCTAGCTAAAAAGCCAAGGCTTTAGTTTTCCCACCCTGCAGCAGGCTGCCTGTGATTGTCTCTCTCTCTCTGGGCAACGGGGAAGATGACAAAGAGTGAAAAGAACAGGAATATATCCCTGATGCTATTCCATCTTGGGACCACACAGTTCCTCTGGTCAAAAAAAGGTTCCCCCCTCCCTTGGAGTTCATGGCCTGGCCAGTGGCCAGGAGAAGAAAAGGCTGCCTGAGCAATGGCCAGAGAAGAAAAAACATAACAAAAACCAAAAAGGGATTTCCCTCTATTCTCTCTGACCCAAAGGGGCCTCCTTTCTGTCTTTACAGACAAGAAAAAGAGGACTTTTTGGACCTTTTTATTTGTACCTGGCGTGCAGTTCTGGGTTTCTGGACACTTGAGATCACCTGAGGAGATTGGGGGGGGGGGGGAATAAAAGAAAGAAAGAAACAGAAAATCATGGTTGTTTTCATAGTATTTTGAATTCTGGTTTCCTTCTCCCATTCACCTGCTAACATTTACTTCTCAGAGTCCTCAGATAGCTGCTCCATGCATTCTGTCTAGAGTTTCTAGTCGCATTTAGCAAGGTGCTTATTCTATCTTAATGAAAAGCACAATGCTCTTTTAACTCATTCATCATTACTTAATAAACTCTGCAACTATATTCTTCCTCACCAAATGGAAACCCTCAAGCAGTATTTTCCCAAAGTCACAGTATGAAAAAAAGCAATTATGTTAAAACACCTTGGGACAAACAGTTGGACAGCCTACAAACCAAATGATTATAAAGACGTAATCCTAGAGGAGCGGATAGGCTCAAAAATATAATAAATCAAGGGGCAAGAAAGATATATCCGAGAAGTAAAACTAAAAACATTAATATAATGATATACATGTACAAAAAAAAATGTTGAAAAACCAACACAAAAACAGCCAAGAATTCCAGCATATTATTTTATTACATTTCTGTGGGGAAAGAAAGCCTCTTTTTATAAATAAAACTTTATCAGATCTTGGCCACATCCACTCATTTGTATATTGTCTATGGTTGCTTTCTCTCTAAGGGCAGAGCCAAGTAGCTTCAACACAGAATGTCTGCCTTACAAAATTTAAAACTTGCTCTCTGGCCCTATAGAATTTGGCCGACTGTTTTAAAGGGAAAGGTTTTCAGTGCCCTATTTTATGCCCAAATTTAATGATGAAAAAGACAGTGTTTTATATAGCTGACCAAAGCATTTTCTAAATTACTTATTTGTGATTTCAAAGCAAGCTGGTACCAAGTTACAGAATAGAACATCACAGCAGGCTCAATACGGTGGAAGATGCCTGTGCTTTGCTCCCAAACACACTAACACCTAGACTGAGAATCACTAGTCTGTACTACAAACTACCTTACAAAATTGGTCTTTTTGTCAATACGGATGAGTTCAGTAAATCAAACTGAAAAGTAGAATGAAGAAGGCAATTTTGGAATGTGTCACATAATACTGATTTAGTGACTGGAAAACACCGCAAAAGGTATTCAGTGTTACACAATTGCTACATGCTATAGAACACAAGGAAATTCACAGATAAACCAAAACATTCCAATTTGAATTACATTTTCTCTACTTAAGTGCTGCTGTCTCACCTCACTGGTCTAATTTAATGGTTTTCAACTGTAGATAACTGTCACCCAGAAAACGTTTGGCAGTTTTTGGAGACATTTTTGGTGGTCACACTGGGGGTAGTGGTGTCATTGCTGGCATATAGTTGGTATGCTGCTACAGCATCTATTAGTAAATAGTCCTATTAGTGAATAGGACTTACCACACACACACACACACACAAATTATCTAGACCAAAATGTCACAAGACCTGTCGAAAAATTTTAATTAACTTAAATGTAAAGTACTAAAAAACAGCATCAGACATGGCTGGTGTGGCTCAGTTGGTTGAAGTGTCATCCTATAAACCGAAAGGCCATTGGTTCAATTCCTGGTCAGGACACATACTACCTACATTGTGGGTTCTGTCCCCGGTTGGGGTATGGGCAAGAGGCAACTGATCAATGCTTTTCTCTCACATCTTCCCTCTCTAAAAATCCATAAGCATGTCATTGGGTGAGGATAAAAAAAAAAGTATCAGATCATGATAAATGATCCCAAAAAAGTAGTATTCTTTACTAATGATAGTAACCTATAGCCTGAATAATCTTGGTTACTATGCCTGAAAAAGCAAACATTAATGGCAAGCCATATTTTATATTTAAAGCTTTCTTTCTTAAAGAATCTGTGTTCTAATTAAAAAAAAAGTTGGAGTGTTTACCAGGGAAAATATGCGATTAACATGACAAGAGCCACATTGCTTGATTCAGGCACACTTTAAATGACCAACTGACTTTTTTTTTTTTTTAATGCCTCGGGTCAGATGATAACCTTTAACAAAAGTCCTAAGACTGCACTGGGAAAGGAGAGCCTCTTCATCAAATGATGTTGGGAAAATTGAGTCTCCATACAGAAGAATGAAGTTGAACCCTTACACTGCACCATATATAAATGAACTCAAAATGGAGTGAAGGTTTACTACATTAAGACCTAAAACTAAAGACCTCTTATGACTGAGGGAACGATGCTGCTGGCAGGTTTTCACCCTTATCACCTGAAGGGCTGAGTTGGATCTTACTCTGGGATCCAGTAAGTCTGACACTACAGATAGCGCCTGAAAATTCATATTGAAAAAGCCTTCATGTGATTTGATTCCTTTGATAGATAGATTACCTCCTTAAAGTAAAAATTGCTGGTTTCAAAGTTATCAATTTACCTAAAAAGCCTATGTGAATCTTCTCAACTGTGACATGAGCTAATCAATGGTCTGCCTTGTCTATGTCAGAGATTCTCCATACAGCCAGGCTGCTACACCTTACCAAGGTCACACCCTAAAACATTAAGATTATTATTCAAAATCTAGACTGACCAAAATAATTCTGACTATGCCTTCCTAGGGCAGGCAATTCAGATATCCAGAGAAATAAATCAACCCAGAATGCACTGCTAATTATAATCGCAGTACACTCTACCTCAAATCTTTCCCCCCAATTTAAATCACTACCAGTATAATTACCGCTACCTTCAATTGACTTACTTTCAATACGTACTTTGTAAAGAAAGGTGGTTTAGAGAAAGCAGCTCAAACTTTTTT